ACAAATAGCTGTACTTAATAACTCTCAGCAGTGTGTATCAGCATATGAAGTTTGAGAAATATATTTTGAATTGTTTACTTAAAACTGATCTAGACATTAATTTTAGAAAAGTGAGGTCAGGGTCACAGGAAAAGTCAAGGTAAAAAAGAGTGAAGCATTGTAAAGCTTACATAAGTATGTATCATCATGTGAAGTTTCATTACACAACTTGAATGGTTTCTTTAAAATGAAGCTAAACAGAAATTTAAGGAGGCTAAGGGGTCAACAAATTATTTTTTTTTATTAACCACCAGTTATAACTTAAATTTGGGGATATGATATCTTAAGCTTTCAACTATCATTTGGCAAAGAAAAATTTCATAAATTTTAGTTTTAAAATTTGATCATTTTATTCTATCTTTATATGGAGCTCTTCGTTTAAAGGAAATCAAAATAGTCTAAAAATGGCCACAACCACCCATCCTCTTTAAAGAAAAGTTAAGTGAAGGTCAAAGGAAAAGTCAAAGTCAAACAATATTGCTGCAGTTGGATATTAACATCAGTATGCATCAACATATGAACTTTGAAAGACAGATGGAAGGGTGGATGACGGACATGACAGAAACTCTACATGTATTCCTAAGCATGGTGTGGCATAAAAAACTTGAATCTACATTATATGAGGATTTTTCCATCTATCAAGATTATACAAGCAAATTCAAAGAATTGTGGTCCTCTGCTTTCTGTGTTTAAGTGAATGGGATGCCATAATTTATGGCAGATTATGTGTCAAATATGCACCCATATCATATATCAATTTTTGAAAATTAGGTCAAAGGGGAAAAATCATAGCATGCTCTGAAACATTTTGTTCCAGGTAATGTACATTTCAAATATGAAAGTCCTATCTCTTTTGAATCAAAATTTATATATACAATATAATATTTTTGAAAAGTAGATTAAACTTCTAGGTCAAGGTCACAGAGTCAAAAGTCATGATATATTTAGAAAAGTCTTTTCACATGTAATAAACATGTATGATTTGAATGCCCTTTCTTTCTCTTTCTAATTGATCAATTTAAAATGTTATTTTTTGGAAAGTAGGTAAAGCTTTAAGGTCAAGGTCTCACTTGGGTTAAAAAATCATAGTATATTTAGAAAGTTTTGTGGTAATGTACATGTGAAATATGAAGAACTATCTCTTATTATTCAAAAGTTATGACCAAGGTTAAATTTATTGTGACAGATGCACATACTAGCTGTCAATAAGATGGACAAACTGACAGACAAATGAGATTTAACGTCCCCTCCCTTTTCCCAAAACAGGGGACAATAATGCCCTTGCTGTTCTTGAGAAGAAGATTTATGATGGAAAAAATCCAATCGATATTTCTTAACGCAAATCAATATTGTATTTTTATGTCATTTTGTTTGTTGTTAAACATCCCTCTCAGGAACTTTTCACTCATATGGAGACACCAGCAATTGAAAAATAATGAGGACAAATTAGATTTGAGGTCAACAGTCATTTTAGGAGTTTTCAACCATTAAGACATAAAGAAATATTAACTCGATCCTTCCCCTCACCCCTTCCCAGACCACTGTTTGTTTATGTATGCAAACTACTACTTGTATTACATTAAAAAAAATATACAAATAGTTTAATGTGGTTCATCTCTGAATGATTTTCATTCCTAATTCTAGGAAGATAGGTTGACACATATTCATGAATAAAATGTCAAGTAATCTTATCATTGATGCACTTTTATTTAATTTAATGCAGTCATATTGTGAACATTTCCAGCTCATAAGGAGAGTGGGAATGACCTCCAGGGGTTCATAACCTTTATACCATTAATTATTTACATCACATAATAACACAAGAAACAAAATTATGGATAGTCAAATGGAAAAACATTCCAACTATTTAGGAGTCAAATGATCATTTGTCATTACTGGGACAGGGAATGGATTGGGAGATCGCCCTCTCAACCCCCCCCCCTTCCCCCAGAATTTGCAGGACTATAATATATACTGGAGGGAATAAAAATGACTTTGGACGCCCAAAGTGTCCCTCCACCTTAGAAAACAGACCCAAACATAACTTCTTTTTTTTTGCTTCTCAGGAAATTCTGGTCTGGAAACCCCCCTCCCTTCCTGTCCCAGAAAAATATTCTGGATCTTGTAACTGAATGTAACGTTGATAACGGGGGATAACTCTTCAGAATGTCAAATTCGTCGGATGATCTTTGATCCTTTAAACTTGAACCTAACCGTTTGCATTTCAGACTATTTTATCCAAACCTATACCAAAACTTGTACTTACCGATTGTCATTATTTAGGTCCTGTAATCTTCATGAAATATAATCCAATTAAACACAAAATGAAATAATTCCTACTGACATATATGCAATGATGTGTATACCACACTAGTAGCCTACTGCACTTGCAGTGAAATCTAAAATTGATAATGCCAATGGTAAAACTAGTACTTAAGTTGGGTATGTGACGCAAGCCCAATGTGATGCAGGTGTTCAAATACATGCATAGTGCAAGAACAAATTGAAAATTATCATTTACGAAAGATGTTTTATCTTAACTTTACCATCTAGGCCTATTTCCAAAAAACAGGCAAATAAGGTGTGTTTGTATGTGTGTGTTGATGGGAGAGGGGTGGGGGTTGACTGAATTGATTGTGTATATGGCAGCTTTCAAGAAGTTTAGAACTGCCTAATCAAATATAAATAAACTTTGCAAATTTTGAAAAATTCATCAAAACGCTCTACACTGATTTGAAAAATATTATTTGTTGTTAAAAAGTTCCAATTTTGTGCCAAAAATTTATACCTCTCCCCGTTATCAAACCTAATTTACATCATCAATTTAATTCTGTTGTTTAATTTCAGGCTGGTAATGAATTAAAAATATGAAATACCTATTAGATGGAGGCCCATGGGTCACACGGTCACCTGAGCATATTATGCTCAATTTGATAAAACATGTTTTATGTAAATTATTGACTTTTTTCTTGGTAAAGCTCAATATGAAGAAGTGTGCATTTAGAGGCAAACACCTTAGTGCGGGTATTACTGTCTCATGACATCATCTAGTAAAAATATTCAAAACTTTTGAGATATAAAGCGTCAAAGATTTAGCATTTTGGCCCCTTGTGACCCCTTATTATGTAACATACGACATTAAAATCATAATATATAGCTGTAGATTGTTGAGAAAAATATATTTGCTTCAGTAATGTATATCAAAATATTGCTAGCTAAAGAGTTATTAATTACTGACTTTTTCCCCCTTTCGGCCCTTAATTTGAGTGTCCAGCCCCTTTTTTCTGGATTTTACCTTAAACCACTCATGTTTTTGAACACTTTTTGTTCAAAAATAATTCAGAAATTCTGTTTTGTTTTCAAGTTATTTGCAAAAGAAATATTTAGGGGCCAGTCCTTTCAACTCCTTAATGGGGATGTTTAACGAAAAATTGTTCATAATATGATTTTGAACATCTTTTGTTCAATATTACTTATCAAGATATTACCCACTTTTGAGATATAAAAAGTCAAAGTTTTAGCATTCTGGCCCCTTGTGGCCCCTATAAATGTTTTACCACGATTTTCGCCATTTCCAGAGGTGCTATGTGTTTCCGATCAAATATACGGTAGTAAGTTATAGTAAACTATGGATAACTATAGTATAAAAAGATAAAATTTTGGAAATTTGCTTTACTATAATGAAAACTTGGAAATTTCATTTACTTTGGTAAATACTTTGGAACTCTGATTTACTATTGTAATAGTAAAAACTTCTGTTCTCTGATTTACTATGATAAAAACTTTGGAACTTAATTTACTTTATTGAAATCTTTTAAGCTTAGAATACTAAGGTAAAATATAGTTAACAATTGTTTACTGCAGCGTTCAAAAAACGTCAATTTTTGGTAGTAATTTATAAGAGACTATTTATTAGATATATAAAAAAGACAGTTATCTACATTATTATACTTTGTTAAGTTTGTAAAATGCATTTCCTATCTTTATCTGACAGGAGAGATAAATCCCAACATGTATATTTGAAGTACACTGTTATTGCCTGTCTCTATCCTTTGGAGATATGAATATTTCGTATATCACACAGACAGGGCCAGGCTATATTTTTATATAATTTAATTTCACTTGTATCAAGCTATTTCGCGGTTTATAAAGCGTAATCTGCCCCAAGTTATGTTATATCGTATAACATAAGTTGAAATTAGCTTCATTCCTTAATTAAAAACAGTCAGTGATATTTACTACAGCTCATCGTCTTAGGTCACCAAGGTTAAATGATCTATTGATTTATATTTGCATTCCCTCTGTCGGCTACTGTCTTTTGTCATAATTTATTCTTGATCATTTTTTTCAGCAATTTTTCATTACCATTGATCATATTATAGCAAAGTTTGATTCATAGCTTTCAATATAGGTTTCTAGAAATAGAAATTGACATTTTTAGCAAAAAAGGTCATTTTTCATTATTTTTTTTTTATTTCAATCATTGCCCATTATGTTATGATACAATGTGTGCATTATAATTCTAACTTGTTATGGTGTTTTTGGTAGGGAAAAAAACATTCCGAAAATTTAATGAGTGAGGTATTCTTAAAGATAATGGTTTGATTAAAATGGAGACTAGAATAACCTTTTTATCAACAATGGATATTATTCTAAAAACCAAAAAAAAAAAAAAAAAAAAAAAAAACAGCCAGAAGTATAAATAATGAGCTTATATTTTCAAATACCCTGTTTATTTTCATTCTGTTTTTATTTATTTTTATGATTTTTTTTTTGGTTTTGCTAAATTGTTTTTATTCCTTTTATATATACATTATCATTTTTGGCTAAGCCCCACACAGACTGTAAACAACACAATAGATTTACTCCTATTTATATTTACAAATATGTGTAGTAGAAAAGCAGGTGTGTTAAATTTATAAATAGGTAACCCGGATATTTAAACCAGTTAAGGTCACTTATGAAGCATTGAACTTTAGGTGAAGGTATAACTAGTCTTTGTGGAACAATGAAAATGGATTTTTTTAGTTTACTGGTCATTGCATGATTGCAGAAGGTAAAAAGCCATAGGTAAAAAGGTATTACGATCTGTTTACCTATTTATGTGTTATACTTTTAAATAACAATATAGATCTACTTTCGTTTTTGATTATGTGGTAACCGTTTAGATTTCTTCCTATGAAAATTAATGGTTAACGATTGGAAATTGCTTGGAAAAAGGAAAGAAGCAAAATATACATATACAGTTCTTAAAAGGAATCTATGTATCAATCCACTGTAATTCTACACTATATATGACTATGTATTGCAAGCTAATGAAAGTGCACATGTAAATATATCATACTCATTTTATTTACGGCTGAGACACAGGTGCTTCTGTACCCGATCAAACCTGCATCCCACCAAACCTTATGCACATGCATATCTTTGGTCCAATTGTCTTTTGTTATAAATCTATTTTCTACCGCAAATCCATATTGAATTTCATTTGGAATTTTTAAATAAGTTAATCAACATTCCACTAAATAAGTCATGCCCAGTCTATCATAAAACCAATCATATGTTGTTGTTGTTGTTGTATTCTTTTAAGAAAAGGCTTATCCATTCGGAGGGTGGGCTGTTCACAAGCACCTGTGCATTAAACTGTCATGTATCAGCATGGTAACCCATACGTTTATATATTTGTTAGTGAAGCGGTTCTTAGAAATTTGTATAAAAGGTATTTTCTGTAAATCGACAAAGAAAGCTATTTGATCTATTATTACCCACTATAGAAATATATAATTTGAAGATAAGTGGGCATGTTACGAGAGCGCAGCTATACCAACGTGTAAAGTTCAGGTTTGAGATACACGTAGATGTAAGCATTTGCCTGACTTTTCTTGTTTTCAATTATATGTTATATGTGTTCTTATGAATCCTTATCATAGAATTATTTATTTTTCAAACTAAATTAAATATATGTATTCCACTGAATGCTCTTCTACATTTTATATTGTCACTAACGAAGAACTTCAAACATTTATGACATTCAAGGAACCTTCATTTACATGAATATGGTTATAGATATGCATTGTCTTAATATACGTTATATAAAGCAAAGTATATGCAACAGTAAGTATTTTACGATATTTATATTTTTAAATCTCTTTATGACCAATTATCCAACTACTCCAGGAATGGTACGACCTGAATATTTGATAACACAACTTTTATCACATGTTTGCCCATAAAGTCTAGATATGATTATTTTCAACAAAAATCATCTAAATGGTTACATTTAATGTCTTAAACATATAATTAAGAATAATCATCAGTTACTCTGAAAACTAATTGAATTATAGATGTTGGATACAAATGTGATAGGGTGGTAATGATTAATTCATGATCTCTCTCAGCATCATCAAAAGACTCTAATGAAATAAATATCTTTTCAAAAGTTTAAATTAACTTCCCTCTTAGTCTTAAACACTTTAATAAAATATCTTGTTATTAAGTTTAAATTAACTTCAGTCAGGGACTTAAATTAAGTTTAAATTAACTTCAGTCAGGGGCTTAAACACTTCCTTGGACTTTTTTCGAAGGGACCATGATCCAAAAGCAATGTTTGTACATGTAGACACCGACTGTCTAAGTCCTATATTTATGAAACCTAACCAAAACCTTTTAGAAGTTTAAGATTAAACCTATTGTCATTTTCATGTACAATTGTGCATCATACAATCATTGAAGTATGTTTCAAGAATTTTATATTATATGTTATTAATCTCAAATATTTTGTTTCAAATATATTGACAATGTTTTCTTATTTGTAATTAGATATGCATCTGAAAGAAAAAAAATGAAAAGGATTTTAATCTATAAAAAGAATGTTTACAGGGTTTAAGACATGGACTTCGGAAATTTCACGCATGGTACCAGATTCCGTACCTGTCATTAGGCATTTCCTTTTACCGAAGACTATACGGGCCTGGGGACCTTTTTGTTGATCAAGTGAGTATTTTATTATGATGTGATTTTCAAGAATTCAAAGTTTATAATAAAAAGTTGATATTTTAAGAACGCTGAATGTCTGAACTAATGAAAACAACTTACCTTTCATTTACTGACATCAATATTTATTTTTTTTTAAAAAAATCAATTTAAATACATGTAAATAATAGTTTGTGTTTATTTATAAAATTTATGCTATTTTGATGAATTTTCATATTTCCTCCAAAGAAATGGAAAACATTGTGGACTCGTGTCCACATAATATGACAGAGGTACTGGAATCCTCCACCAGGCTTGATTGTGGTCATGATCAGTATGGGAATGATCAGTATATCTGTGTGCCCAACAAAAACAAAACAGGACTCGTAGAACTGTGTTACAGTGGGATCATGGGGATAATAGAACAAGGTGAGTAATCACGTAGTCAAGGCAATATATAACAGCATTTCAAGTACGATTTTGTTAATGACATAAATCATCTTTTGTTTCATAAGTACATTGTAATTATAAATATTGTAGAATGTAAAATACATTGCAAGTTAAAATATTGTCAATAGAACTAATCTTTCAAAATGCTATCAGTTATTTAAATATATTCTTTTCTCAGAAATCACAATCCCTTACAAAAATATCAAAGTCATCTCATGTCATAGTTTACCATTGATGGCTATAGTAAATCAATTTTACTAGTTTACTTCAAAATACAGATATATGTACATGTTTATTATGTATATTTAAATTTTACAAGAAATTTGGTGATACCAACTTCTACGTATACTTTCGGAATATCTACATATTCTGTTTACAAAAAAATTACATCTTTGCCAAGTAATTAAGAATATAAAGCATCTAAATCTTCAAAAAAGTTCGAGACTTGAAATTGATTTTCAAAGTAATGTAACAAAGTATTTACTACAGGTACATGTAACTATAGTTAATTTTGACAGAATTTAAAAAAACGCAATATTACTCTTAAAAATTTTATTTTTATTTAAAGATCTGTGTTACCTTTAAGAATTCATTATAATGTCATGATCGTGAAATTATTGATATAAGTATTAGACTGTTTTACAAAAGAACTTGGGGAAAAGACCAATAGTTTTTATTAATTGTAAACATTTGCAAAAGTAATGATAAATTTTAAAATTGCTATCCTGCAAATATGTTTCTTAGTAAATAAATGCAAATAAAGAAGTGTAAGAAGTATAAATTTTGGTCTTACATACAAGATCTTTTGTAAAACGGACCCTGCATGAACTATAATACAAGGTTACATATAAGGAAAGCTAGTAATGCTTTTTTTCGAATACAACTGAAATTATTAATAAAGGTATAGGATTATTCAAAATATATTTCACGAAAGATAGTTTCTAATCAAGTTGATGAAAAATGAACTCCGAAACATCTTATTAAAATGTTGATTGATAAATGTATTGCAGCTCTTTCTACTTTCTCCCGACTTTGTGTTTTGTTTTGTTTTTTACTAATGAACCTTGCCATTTATTATATAATTAAGGTTACTGTTTGGAGACCGATGGACAAAAACTTGTTCAATTTGACTGCAGTAGATTTTCATCAGGCTGTCCGAGGGGATATTATCGAAGCAAAAAGATATGCCAATGTAATTTCAAGATTCTTAAAAAAAAATCAGTGAATTTAGTTTGAAATTGCCATAACAAAACAATTTTTTATGGATTTTTTAAATACAAATTTGTCTTGTGAATTCATTGAATCATCTAAATTTTGTTAATTTTTTTAAATTTAGATCCTGCTTGTCAAGGCATCAATACTGAACAAAATTGTTATTTTGCTGAAACCTCATGTCCAAATAAGTAAGTTTATACCCTGGTGGAGTATTTCTTTTCTTTCTAGATTTCTTTTTTAAAATTATACCTGATTAAAAAAATAATCAATATGTAATTTTATTTTAATAAAGTAAACTGATACTTAAACCATCCAGCTACATGTAGGATGAATTAAAGGATTGAGAGAAAGTTTGTATGTAAAGATGCTTAATCAAGTATTAAATTTTGAATTACCTACTAAAGAAAGTTTTAACTACTTAAGAAAGTCTTCACTTCAAAATTATGGTCTTTGATTCATGTGCATGTTTGTAAAGTTTCCGTCCAGACCATTTAAATTTTCAAGATTATAGGTTAAATTCTATTCTTTGTCATCTTTAGATTATCTTAGACATATATTCGTTATATTTTCTTATCGAACGGTGTTATGTGTTCGTCTGTCCTGTTTCGGATAGCTGTAAATGTTATAGGCCACTTATGTTTTCATGAATCACTGGAACACCTTAAAGTATTCCTATCGTACCTTAAATAAAATGAAAAATATTAAGACTAACAAGAAAAAATCCCCGATTTACTATTTTTTTTTCATTTGCCACTGAGCAAGGAAATGTGAATCTTAAGATGAAAAATTTATTACAAACTAGTATTGATTCGTGGTAGTTTTCATTTACCTATTTCGGGTCGGCTTATTCTCATTTTACTATATATGTACTCCAATGGCCTATCACTTTTTTTGGAAAATACCTTGTGAACGTCTACAAAACAAAGATTTTTTCCCAATTTAACCAAACTACAAGTACTTGGAATGGGGTATCAATAGTTAAAACTTTAATGCAAATATATCTACCAAATATCACTGTAAGAATGATTTAAGTACATGTAAACATTTATGTATTGGAAGAACCAGGCACTTGTACTTCACGATTGTTTGCTACGACTGCCTTAATTTTAGATTTTCTTTAAATTCAATATCATTCTATGAAGCCAGTTCCTGTGAAAACAAGCAACATTTCTAAAAAGAAAAAGAAATTCGATTAGGATTTTTGATGCTGTTTTCAAATCTAAATGTCTCTTTTAAACAAAAGAGGCGTTGTTACCTTTTAAGTTTTCTACCTACTTATGCGCATATTTGAACGTGCACTACACATTCTGTGACTTGTCTGTTGATATTTTAATGCCGTTTAACATGTAGGTATAGATCAACTTTATTTGATTTATTTCTTAAAGAAAAGTAGAATAAATAAAATAAAATAATTAAATAAATTGCTTGAAACTTAACATCCTAAATTATGTAAAATAATCTCATTTTCAGACATCAATTGGCTAATTTTTATTTCTAAGGCTCTGGCTACAAACTTTCACTTACGTATAGATGTCATTTTACAATTTATAGGAACATGTAGACAACGTGTCATCACTAAAATTGGTGACGTGATACAATGTACGTGATTATATGAGAACACTACATATATGAATGTATGAAATCTCGACCTCCCTTGTTTGTCTTAATGTACTCGTTCGAGCCAATTGCCAAAGTGAAAGTCTTTCAATACATACAAACAACATTCACAAATGTAAAAAAGTGCTCTTATTACATAAACAATACAAGAATAAAAATGAATGATATAACCTTTAAGGTTCGGGTTTCTTTTTTAACCCTATCTCGTGTAGCATTTGTTGCTGTAACATATCATTTGCATCTCATTTACCGCAATGTTTTTGTCAATTTATCTTTGTGCCCCTCCTTATAAATTTCTAAATATCGATTGAAAATAAACTTTACTATCAATAGCAAATAATGTCTTATGGAATTTCTTTTTATTTAAGATTAGCATACAGACATGTACAATCATTCAGAGTTATTCTAATAATATATTTACTTGTACATTGTGTATAATATTTGAAAAAAAAATAATTTCCCTGTACTTACCTGACATAGCTGTAACTTTATTCAAATATTCTGAGATGTTGCATATTCTTTTCTACCTTTAAGAAATATATATCTGTTAGTTGCTTTAATATTGCCTTAAAGTGAGACTTTTTTATTATGGCTAAGCAAAATCTGAAAATCGCTTTCAACTCTGATGGAAAACTAAGTCGAGATTCATTATAGTATTGACTTTCACTTGATATAAATATCTTTTGTGTTGCCCATGCACTCTTTGGTTCTGAACAAATTTTAGCCAACTCCATTCCGACCACAAACATTATCTCTAAACTAAACATGTTAGGGGGAACTCCTCGACCCACTTGTCTCATATCTAATACCGTCAGTTTAGAAAGCATTTGGGTTTTCATATCCTTTTTACCTCAGGTTTGCATAACCAAACTTCTTTTTTATATCAGCTCATGGAGCACTGGTACCAGCAAGACAACATTTGATTTCCAAACAACAACACCTGCTCCTCAATACGACCCATCATATGCAGCAGAGATTGCAGGTGGTCTGTCTGCTGGAGTGTTTTTATTCGTTGTTATTCTTACAACAGCTGTTGTCCTTTGGAGAAAAAGAAAGAATCAGAAAAATGAGGTACATAAAGGCAAACCATGCATGCTCTTCAGACGGAAACATATTGAATATGATGAGGATAATTGGCAAGGTTTGTGTTTCTAATTATAGCAGATATATCTCTGAATTTTAAAGGCATTTTTGAACTTAATATATCTCTTCCATTCTTTTTGAAGTTGAAAATGAGAAGATGTTGCCAGGAGAGACGACAGAAACTCAAGGTTATCTAGTTTGTGAAAATATATCTGAGATTAGTCCTTAACTCTAAATCGATTTACATTGAAGTGTTTATTTCATGAGATGTTGAATTTCTCTTTATTTCAAAAATATAGTTACTATAACTGAGACGATTTATCACAATACACAAGAAAAGATTGAAAACAAGACACAAGAGCAAAGTAACAAAAATGTGCAGGATCAAATTGACAACAATTTAAAAGAGCAAATCAGCAAAACTACGCAGGAGGGAATTGATAACAACATGCAGGAGCAATTTAACACCAATACGCCAGAGCACAGAGAAAACTACAGGGAAATGGACTTCACTGGTGATTCCTCTACTGAGTCGCTACTGTCTTTTACTGATCCTGAGGATGAAGGTACCACAGAAATTAATTTTCCAAAACTCATTACATCACATGCTTTGCAAGTATATCTTTACAGATAGATATCAAATTGGAATGCAATGAATGGATAACTTTTTTTCTCGTTTTTACGTGTCACTATTTTTATTTTTAATATAAATTCATTAAATTTTGAAAATGAAATATGCGTTTATAAAGGATAATTTTAGATGTGCAGAAATGAAAAAAGGTGGTATTCTTTTAATTTGTTTTGCTTTTCCAAAATATACTTCCAGTATTATTTAGTCTCTTATCCTCAACTTTCTCTATGATAAAGAAAAATAAAACAAAATTTATGATTTAACCATCCATTCAAGTCATTTGTATTAATGTATTTAATACATGTTTAATATTAGATGTCAAGTAAGTCACTTATTTCTTAATTCTTTGACAAATAGAAAGGATCTAGGCACGTGGTCATACATGTTTTTTTCATGTTGCCTTGTAATCTATTACCCATAGACCACACGCTGCAAGTTTCTGATCATCGTTCAAGCAATAATTGATCCTTCAATGCCTAATCATTCCACCCTGTCAAGATTACTCTTTATCATAAATTGTGGCTTATTTTTTTTTCCTTTTTAGATGGAACACTGTTTAGTAATCATTTGATAGTCACTCATTCTTTCAGCCCCTTTGCTTCCATATTCCTTATTTCAAACGCATCAATCGCCAGTCGGAGACACTTATCTGATGAATGGCAACTTACATTAGAAGCTCGCTTCTGGGTTTCAAACATAAAAGTGTTATATCTCAGATAGAGATGACAAGTAATCAGTGAGCTATACAAAATAAAATAAAATGCACCCTTAGTTTAGATGTTAGTAAAAGTGTAAATCCATATGTAATAAAATTCAGCATATTATCATTTCCGCAATCGAGTTTAGATTTATACACAATCTGTAGGTACGGGGGCCGATTGGTCCAAGATAGAAATAGAATATTTAATCTGGCGGCCGCCAAATAATTTTCTGTCTGACATGTCATGGTATTAACTTCTTTTATAACAGTTTAACTTTCTTTTATTCCTTCCTTAAACCCTACACGTACCTCTCATCCTCTGAAAAATTTCTTGATTTCTGGACAGAATTGTTACATTTACTTAATATATCTTTGATCTAGCATGCCCAGTTGTAAAACCTTAACCCCCACTCTCACCATACAAAAAGTGGGTGATCAGTTCTCTTAATTTGCTTATTTAAGAATGATTTGGGGGATGGATTTTATTTTGCAATTTAATCTTAAGAGTACAACATGTACAATTAGACTCTTTAAATTTCTTCTTGACATATTTTAGCGATTTCAGTATGATATATTTCTTCTTTCGTAGGAAAATACAGCGCTTGGAAAACAAAAATATCAGGTGAACATCTATTATTTACATCTACTTATTTTAGATCAAAACGAGTTCTGTGACATAATTTTTATTTAACAGTAAGCAAAGAGTTTATTTCATATCTAGAATAGATTTATTATTTTATGATATTATTTTCTTTAAATAGTTTGCATTGCATTCACAGTATTAATAGATGAAAATTGTTTATACTAAAACATATTTACTCGCTCTGAGTGGGTTTCTAATCCAGGAGGGGTGAAAGTCATTTTTGATATATTCAGTATAAATTATCTAAAATACCGGGAACGCCCAAGCCTCTATCTTGTTCCCGCCCCAACAGTTGCATATGGTACAGTACCGACCGGACACAACCTAACACCAGAGCGAACCCGGAGCGGACCCCGGGTTCGCTTCCCGGGTTCGCTCGGGGTCCGCTTCGGGTTCGCTTTCAGAAATTTTGGGACCGCTCCGGGTGCGCTTTGGGTGCGCTCCGGATTCGCTCCGCGTTCGCTCGGGGTCAGCTCTGGGTCCGCTAGAGCGAACCCGGCGTTCGCTTCCTGGGACCGCTTTACGCACTGATGCGTGAAGCGGACCCCGCTTTAATCTCACCGCCAGTAAGCCCCGCCCCTTGCATATTCCAATACAGTAATGGTATTGTGGATCGATCATTGTTGTTTTTGCGACGATGCTGACATGTACACTGTACATGTAAACAGTGAAATAATGGAGAACATTGATAAATTTTCTAAAATTCAAGTGTAGAATCGACGTAGATTTATATGTACATGAATAATTATTAAGGTCTTCCGTTTCCAACGGAAGACCTTCTACTGATTGTGAAGATTAAGATTATTCTTATTATTCTTTTTTTTTTTTCTTCCTAGACGCCAACTTTGAGGCCTCGTATCTCGCTCATTTTTCAATGGATTTTGTTCAAATTTTCAGACATTATAGACGGTAATAAATTCTATCAGAATGCTGTCAATCATTTCAAAAAGTCACTTCCGGTTTTGAGTTATTTCCCTTTAAACGAAAAATTATAGGCTTTCATTTCCAGACAAAGGCTCAGAGACCACTTGAGCTGGAGCAGAAATTTTACTGGTTTTAGATAACAGAAGGATTGAAGTTGTGCACATCGGTTTTTGTTTTTCGATTTCTCTATTCAAAATGGCGCTATACAGGGGTCAAAAAATAGAATGCGTAAAAGTGCGAAAATTTACACATGCTTTCCTTTCTATCTTGAAAACTAAAAATATTTTGTTAAGATATATTGAACAAAAACTGTGCATAATTGCAAGGGCTTTCATTTAATACTATAGAAAAGGGGCTGGCCCCTAAAAAAAGGGATCTATGGAGCTTGAAAGTTTTTGCTTTATAACTCAAAAACGGTAAACATTTCGTTCTAGATCTTACGGGCAAAATTGTTCTTTAACACCTTTTTGATCTGATGAGAATGTTTATTTGTTCGAATATACCGGGGTTCTTGCATAATATGCAGTCGAAAGCAGGTCAGGT